TGGACGCGTGTAATTAATGTAGCCGTGTTTCATTTCGTGTAGTGTTTAATACACAGGTACACGGATATAGAAATACACGAGTATGAGCCATTCCACGGAATTTTTATATGATGAAATTAATGTCATAAATGACGTTCATATTGAATTTTAAACATAACGTCATGCATTTGGTTTTATCATATTAATAGAACGTTAATAATTTTCTTAAAATGTCTGTAAATATCGACGTTCTTCGATTCCCATAAATTACCAAATTAATGAAATTTAGGTAGTATAAAATATGCATATACTTTTCTGTATGTTACCATTGGTGATAAAACTACAAATTGCTGAGATGGTCGAACGAAATGTTTACCATTTATCTTGGGAAAGCGATAGAAATGTTGTAAATTTGAAAAAAATGGGTGACTATGACCGCAATTCTCCGTGTATTTTGACCTGGAATGACTTTTACCCGTGTACCCGTGTATTAAAAACTACACGGACTGAAACACGTGTATTATTAATTCACATTCAAAACCATGATCTCTAGTCATTACGTTCTCAACACTGCGTCCTGACGATTACTCGTTGCTACAGTAAAATGAAACGGTAACTGTCTAACACACTCGGACATTTTTACGTATTTTCGTAAACCATAAATGGGCATAGTGGTCCTTGCATTTAGAATTTTGGTACGCTTGATCCGTGTGATTTAACTTTACGGTGGCTATTTGTTATGAAAAACCTGATCGACCATTGTTCAAAAGTACACTAACTGGTCTGTTCGAGTTTACCACCTCTCTTACTATAAAAATTCATGCGTACATAGGTGCATATACGAAGATCTTTTCGTAAAGTTATACTCTGAACTATCACTGCCGATATCACATTTTGAAAGTTTGCCTTGATGTGACATGTACGAAGACGTGTCCTCCAATGTGCAAATTTTAATAATGTTCACTACTGTTACTCTGACTAATAAGACAAACCAAAGAATTCGTAACTGTTTGCAGGACTGAATAATTTTATTACTTCTTCTTTCCTTGGTCCACTGTGTATTTTGGATATTTCATGTGTTATGAATTACGTTAAGAGATCTGTCGAAGAATACAGCTCGTTCTACATGGCTCCAAAGCTTTGCTCATGTCGCAGTTTTACGCAGCAACGAATAATCAACAACACATAAAATGAAACAAATTTCATCAGGACACTTTCTCTTGAAAATCGAAGTGACATTGTTACAACAAACGAATTCGCGCAATCCTCTTTTTTTTATACTTGCATGTTTTTTTTATTGTCTGTCTAGGTGTGTGTTCAGATCTACTGAAAGCTTCGTCTTTAATACATTGCTCACCAAAGCTTCATTGAATCAAAATACAGCATACAGAAGTGTGGTGAATATTAAAATATTGTGAACAATTTGATCGAGCATAAAGCTATCGACGTACATACTATAAAACTGGAAGATGTCCATGACCGATAAGCAACGTATTGATGAAAAGCTTCCCCGGGATCGGAATATTATGTCGTGGACGCGCCCATATTCAACCACGTGATCGACCGAATATGGTGTCCACTTTATAATCATCGCGTATGTATATCCTCCTAATTTTTAAACATTTGCTCTGTTAGTTTTTGTACATATTTATGCGTAGATACATGCAAAGGAACATTTCTCGTGTCTCGGGGGCTAGGTTATGTGACGATGATACTGTGTCGTTTTGAATTTTCCCGCGTTAAAAAAATAAGGATGAGGTACACCTCCTTATCCTAGCGAGATTGAATCGCTAAAACGAGGCGGAAATTTGTTCATGAAGATTTTTCGCTTTTTCTTCAATGAGTCTATGTTATTTTTTTTGTACATTTTGCTGATTGAGTTTTTTTAAAAAAAAGTTATTTCAAGCCTCGTCTCGTTGAAAGTGAATTCGGCGTGTGTCGATCGAAACTCGGATAACACACCTCGCAGAGACTTCCCAATTCTTAATCAATCTGGCATGTATTTTACATAGAAAATTCATCTCGTTTCACGTTCGCGGTATATATCATGTCGCGGCATCGATACGCTGTTCTCATTTTATCATCTAAGGAATAACGTTACAAAATTGTTACGCGGATCAAAAACGCCGAGCCCGTCCTCGCCGGCCATTATTTAAAAAGGATCTCAACGTGTCGAAACTATTCAATATAAGGATCGTACACGATGACGTCCCAGTAAAAGAATTACACCTTGTATATTTATGTATAGCCATCTCAAAAATGATTGATTGAGAATAGTGTTTCTCTGTAGGTACAGTGACGTTGTATCTATCTCGCAAAAATATCGTTTTTAAAAACTATCTGCTTACTTGTTCTTGTTTCGTATTGTTGATACAAATCCGCATGTCGATTAAAAAAAAAGGAAAAAAGAATTCGGGGTGACGCGTAAAAGTGTGTTCGTCGTTTGAAAATTGGAACACCCAATTTCTAGTTTGTTGCATCACGCGCAATTAGATTTTGGAGATATAAATATCCGTTGTTCATCTGTTACATAGCTACATTTGTGAATGTTAATGTAACATTCGAAACGTTTTGGCGCATTCGAAAGTTGCATGAGTCGTGCACGAATATACATACGTTTTTTGCGAAGTAACTACGCCCTCGTTCACTAAAACTACGTTCAACAGAAACTCGTTAACTGAGACTTTATGTTTCTTTTTTCTTGTTTATAAACAAAACTTTCTGCATCATTCGTTGATCTTATATTCGGTACAGAAAAAAGTTCTTTGTCGCTGTGCCTGAACGAAAAATTGTTAAAATTTTGATGCGAACTGAGAGGACGCGTTCATATTGTAGATCTGTACTCATAATGAAGCACTTTTTGTAGAATAATCAATACTTTATAATAACAAAAACTAACAAACACAAGTAATAATAGAAACTTTTTGTAGAATAACCATTCCAACGCAAAATAATATGAGCTTCACGTAAATGAATGATTCATTAATTCGTAAAATATTAAATATATGCTTGAAAAAAACTAGATAGTTATATAAATAAAGTATTCATTACATTAACGAGAAAACATTTTTGTTAATTCGGTTTATACTGTGTACGAGATATGACTTTAATGGCATTGAATATTGAATTTAAAATGATATACACTGATAGAAGTGAACAGGATCACTATATAATTTTTTTTATATAAATGTACATATGCATATTTCATTAGTTCGTCTTTTGCTCTTTCCTCTAAACTACAAACGAAAGATTTTCTAAAAGATATTTCACATAAAAAAACGAACCATATCCGTCTCTGTTTTTCTTTACTTTTTTCAATTACATTCTGAGAACAGGGTTACTGTTATGTTCTTAATTATAGGCGAAAGACATTTATAAAATGAAAAAAATGAAATTTGTAATTAATAACAGAAGTATAATAATTGTGTACTCTTTTTTTGAAAATTTTGTCACTTAACTTTGAAAAGTAAAGTATGAGCATATTAAATGCACATTATATCTTATAACAACTTTAATAATGGTTTTCGAAAATGTAAATTACTTACAACATTCAGTTTATTTTAGGCCGGAATGCTTCCAAAAAACAAAATGTATAGGTTCAAACAATGATCTTGACTTTCAAGGTTACGATAAAGTGTTATATCGTATGGATTTAATTTCCATTAACAAAAATGCAAAAATTCATCCATAAATACCGCGACAAATAACTTTCTTGTATCTTGTACGTAGCAATACATGTAGTACGCAAATAGTACGGAGACACATAGCGTAGACTTATTCTATGCAATCATAGTTCCGCCATAGATCTTATCCCTTAACGAGTTTCTAATTCCGTTATTCACGTTTATACAATTCTTCTCCCTCCCCCCATTTTCCTACTAATCCTCACACTAAAGAAAAATATTTTCTTACACGTGTTTCAGCACGCAACGAAAATCCCAACAATTTCGTTTCAGAAACGTGTCCAGTAAATTTTTAAAATATTCTTAACAAATTAAGAATATAACCGACTCTACCATAAAAATTGTGGAACGCCGTCAGCTTGCGATATACGTTTCATTAAATAGTAAACATGATTGTTAAGTGGCTGCTTTTTTTGCAGGGAGTCGAAATTTCGAACACCAATAGGAAAATGGCTTCCGTTCTAACTGTACACGCTACGTAGTAGTGAATTACCGTGGATCAATAATGATGAATTATCCTATACCGCGGCCAAGAACATCTCGACGGACTTTTTAGTTACTAAAAGTCCTCCATGACTGCATTTTTTTATTGTGTCCTTCGGTTATCCCTACACTCTTAATCTCTCAGTCTCTTCGATCACAATCGACTGAACGTTTCCTTTCATTACCGGCTCATTAATATTCTTTCACGACTAACAAGATCATACACTATTGCTAGGAAAATCTTCTTTTATGCTTTCAATCCGAATTTTTCGACTTATGTACAAGAAAAATGAATTGTGACATAGGAGAAAAAACAAGCCCAGGAAATATAATCGATATTTACATGAATGTTCAATAGGATAAACTTGTTCCTGTCTCTTCAACAACGCACGGCCCGACAAGTCATTTCTGAAAGAACCGTTCCGTTATCTCTAATATCGGACAGTTCCGTTTGGTTGCCGTTTGTTGCTTCGACAGAAAAAAAATATACAACAATCAACTCCACGTTATTTTCGTGCCAAATGGTATCACGTTTACATTTTCACGTAGCACGTCGATGATCTGTAAACACTTAAAGCATCGAAAAATCACGCGTCGATCTTCATACTCGGCAATTTGCATCATGATAGTGACACTTCGACCAACGTGATGTTTCATGGGAACGAAAACAACGTAGAACGAACACGCGTACCGATCTCTTTTAAACGGCAAACGCAATCAACACGGAGGACTTGCATCGTCCTTCGAGTTCGTTTCTTCTCGACATTGTAGTTCCGAGAATAACTTCTCTCAACAAGCGTAAATCTCAAGAACGCAACGATGCGGTGATCTATGTAGAAGGTCGATCGACGTGGATCATCGACACTGCTTCTGCTCGGCCGTGATGGGGTTCAAGGTCCCGACGGACTTCTTCGACGATCTCTTCCCTTCCGATTTCGCAACTCCGCTGTTGTCCGATCCCTTGATCCCTGCCGCTTTGCAGAACCTGCTAGTGGTCTTCTGATCCTTACTCGACTCCGACACCTTGTCCAACTCAGCCATTGCTTCCTGTATGGCATTCTCCAGCTGCATGTTCAATTTACGACTTCTAGAAGAAAAAACGAGGGTGCACGGGAAAATTCGTGCGATTAATCGTGACGAAAGATCGAACGCGCCTATTTACGATCTTAGAGAATAGCAGCAAAGCCTTGATATATCTAGAATGCGATACATATCTACGACACTACTCTTTACTGGTCAATACATTGCGGTGTTTATGCAAATTCATATTCTTCGTGGCAAAGTTTGAAAAATTTATGAAATATTCTGTTCATTATACTTCACATTCGTATATGGCACCAATGCATAAAATCCACAGTCTAATTGATCAATAACGATAAGGAAGGTTACCCATGTGTCCTGAATCGATTTTCTGTGCCGAGAAGTATGTTGAATTACTTAAGAATGATATTCAAAAGAACTTTGAGAAGAAATGGTATAAGGAAATACAGTCCAAGTATACTTCTATCAGTATTAGGGTATCTGTATGAACCCTGCTGTTCTCCTCGGGTCTATACGATCCGAAATGAAGATTATATTTCGATAAGTATTATATACAGTAATATCCCGATAAGTGTGAACGCCTCGGTTCCGCAGAGTCACACTCAAGGTGGTGGGCGATTGGCACGAACAGTTGTCAGCACCTCGTCAATCTTTTTTTTGCTCGAAGCTCGAGCCTCGCCAGCTTGCGTTTGTAGTGTGTACCGACATAGAAAAGGACACGCGAGTGAAAAACAGAAAGAAAAAGCATCTCTTTCCACTCGATTCGAGTGCGTGAGCCTGCTGCGACGCTCCCATCGGCCAATGGTTATATTGTAATCGCGGCGGTTCGCGTTATCTTACTCGGTCTCGATGTGTCTCGTTCGTTCTCTTCGTCACACAGTCCGATTGTGTCTGTACTAGAGATGGCGTGAAATCAGGGTGATTTTTCACAGTGATTCGTGATTTCTCGTGATCGTTTCTGATTGGTGGAGAAACCTAACAGTTCTTTACACGCGACACATAATCTGTATATTTTATATTAACGACATCAAAACAAAAATTCGAGTTATATCGTATAAAGTGAAGGAATAATTAGAAACAATGAAGAATAATGAATAAATTAATGATTATAAATTATAATCTACATGTTACCTAGCAAATCATTTTTTTAGAATTTCTTGTTTTTTCTACTGATTTTTACAAACACGAATAGTAATGTAATTATCGTAAAATCATATTGAATACGTTTTTCTGTTTAAAGATCAAGGACTTACGAGCGCAGTGAGCAAATTCATTCAAGATAAAAAAATCGCAATCACGGTCGTGAATGAAGTTAAATCACGGCCGTGATCGTGATTCGGCGATCACTGTGATAAATCACCGTTAGTGATTTTGCACGCCATCTCTAGCCTCTACCGTTTCGGCCAATCATAAAAATACGTGTGACTGGAGGTGATCCAGCTAAGTTCATTCGTCGGCAGCTCTTTGGGCAGTCGCTAACGATTGAACGCTTCGATGAAGCGTCGTAAATATGCATATTATACATTTCCCCGCTCTGTCCGTCGAGTCCGTCGAGTCCGTCGAGTCCGTCGAGTCCGTCGAGTCCGTCGAGTCCGTCGAGTCCGTCGAGTCCGTCGTGCCAGTCGGTGAGAAGGAAGAGAGTTTTTTCGACGAGTCGACGCGACGGCTGAACAAAGGGAGATCAAGAAAAGATATACATTCCCGCATATCGGTGAGACAACGCTAATGCAACGATGAAACTTTTTTATTTTTTATTCGTTGTTAACGAAACTTTTACTAGTATATTGGTGAGATTTTTCTGATTAAAATGATACCAAATACGACACAATTCGAACCATATTTACTCATGTAGAAAGTGTTAACAATTCATATTCGTTCATTAGCGCTTGTGATAAATCATAAGTAAATATGATCCAAATTATATCGTGTTTGGTATCATTTTAATCAGAAAAATCTCACGAACATGTTGGTAAAAGTTTCGTTAACAAAGAACCAAAAACAAAAAGTTTCATCGTTGCATTAGTTCCCCTCGTTCAGCCGTCGGCTCGTGAAAGGGAAGCAGTCGCGGCGTGCCGGACAAAAAATTATACGATTGACTGGTTCCACAGCCCCCTTCCCCAGTGGTGGGGATGACGACTTCACACTTATCGTGAGCAAATCGACTCACACTTATCAGAACATAACTGTATTTAAATATTTGTCAATAGTATCCAACATGTTTTAATTTCATATTTACCTTTTGTGTATTTTGCATTTCTCAAGAACGAATCATTTCAAAATTTGAAATAGTTTTCTTCAAAGAGATATAAACGTGAAAAATAAATAAGGAAAACAGCATGGTTTTAACTAAAGAAAATTCGATGTTTCGTACAAACTGCATGTTTGACGATGCGTTTAGCATCTAATATTTGCATAAGTGTTACGTATTCATCTTTCTCTCGATTAGTTCATATCGTTCCAAAATTTCACGTTTTTCCCTTCAAATAAATTTATAAATACTGCGTATCTGGAACATATTAGTTAGGAACTGACTTTCTAATGCTTTTATACGAATGATAGAAACTACAAGAAAGGAATCATAAAAACTGAATGGAACTGTAAACTTAAATGATAGTTCGATTTACAGAAATTATTAGAATACAATTAATGTATCGAATATTCGCAAAGATTACGTTCGAATCAACAAAATTCTATTGTATGTAATATATCACTGCGGAGATAGCTTTAAATTTCAAGTAATAGTTTCACAAAACAAGTTTATGACTGTGCTCAAAGTTTGAAGTTGACCGTTAAATATCAAATAGATGAAGGATACTAAAAAATTTGTAAGAAAAAAGTAAAAACAGTTCCTTAGGAGAATTAACAATTATGTCTGTTCCAACACGTTTACTTATCTCCACTTTCCGTTCTCATTTTGCTTTTTTATGAAGTTAATAACTCTTTTACTTCGTACATTGCATTTCTTCTGAAAGATACTTTGAATTTATCGATGTAAAACTGAGTATCTATAAAGCAAATTGTTCCATATCGTACATTTATGATTTAGTGTGCATAAAGAAATATTTACTTCTTACGTTGTAATATTTACAATACTTCAAGGAACACAAGAACGATTGCGGATATTTAAGTAATACAATGTGTATGAAAATTGTCGAGTCTCTAGAATTGTTTGTTGGTTGATCGGTGTACACATATAAGATCAAAACTTTCGAGAATTTCTGCAGAATTTCTCCGCATATTACAGAGAACCATAATATCCTGCTAATTACCTGTCATATCTTTTAAAACTCGTTTAGCTGCGCGTTTCAATTTAGAAGAAAAAAATATACATTACTAAGAGAATTATTTCACCTTCAAATTTGAATATACAGGGTGTTCCGCTTAAAACAGGCCACCTAAATATCTTCTCTATCTGTGATCATACGAGAAATATTTGTTACGTAATTTAAATGGTTTCAAGAGACGAATCGGATGGCGGCAAAAATGTTCTATAAATGTAATTTTTTAATGATTTTTTTTAAGCCACCCGTGTTTTTTTACGTTTATGCACATAATTTTTCCTGTTGTATGTGTATAGCCAACATTGTTATGCATCTATCCACGTATAATGGCGTAACCTTGAAATGATATTGAATTCTAAAAATTTTCTTACTTATAGGAAATTTAGTCTAAAAATTAAAAATTCATTTATACAATCTTTTCCACCAAGTGATTCGTTTCTTGAAACCATTTAAATTACGTCAAAAATATTTCTCGTATGATCACAAATAGAGAAAATATTTAGGTGACCTGTTTTAAGCGAAACACATTGTATATATAAATTTAACCAACTCAGCTTACGAATTTCTTTCCGTCAACGATTTGGTAAAACCATTGAACTTTCAATAAAAATTCGAACTGAATATCTTTTTTCATCTGGTTATTTTTGAAAGCCTTGATTTAATGAACTGACAAATATATTGATATTGATTCTATGAGAGAATATCATTATTGTAAAACGATTTCTCACCATAAAAGTTTCTATTTCTGCTGTTTAAAATTTATTTGTAACAAATGAATTTAATGTTCCATATTTCGCCGATGTCCAGGAATTTCCATATGGTAATATTTTCTACATGTATTATGTACTAAGAAGAACATGTTACTAAAGACAGAATAATAGTTCTATTTAAACAGCAAATATTAAGCGGGCTAAACAATTACGCATATCTATGCAGAGTGTAAATTAAAACGCGTCTGAAACGCGCAACTGCGATTAAAGAGTTAGAAAAAAAGCGTCTTTTAATAAAAGGCTTTCTAAGAAATAGTTTAAAAGCTTTCTACCCGTGACAGAAATACTTGCGGAATGAAAAATCGCAGCTACGCGACAAGTTTCTTAAATATAACAGAGACTCGAATATCATTGGCTGCTGGTTTGTCACCAAAACGCTATACAAACCTGACCTATGGTGAGATAGGTATTTACATATTAAAAACCGTTTAAATCATAATATGTATAACATAAATTAATATCTTCACGAATCAAGTTTGTGAAGCATTCCCAAATATCAATTTTTGAAATTTGTTAAAAACACATAAAATTTCGGATATGAATAAACGATAATAAAATACAAAATAGAATCTTGACCATATACAGCTATCATATCAGTTTATTAATATTTCATGCAGTGTAAATGGCACGACAACGAAAAATTACTTGAAAATCTTATACTTGGTATCGTCCCTAATTATTTAATATTTTTTGTAAACAAAAAATTGTAGTGAATTGAAATACCATATTATATGCCACAATTTTATTTGCTGATTTCAAATAATAATGAAGATTTTAGTGAAATACCGGACTTTTGAGAAACCAGTGTAAAAAAACGAAATAGAAGAAAATTCAGATTTTTAAAATAATAAATTCGAAAACATTAAAGTAAGAAAATATTTTTTCATCTTGGTAAATCTTATTTCAGTACAAAGAAATTTTAACAAAAGGAAAATTTATACAAAATCATAGTAAAGTAATGCATCTCAACTGGATAACGATATTCTAACTAACAATGTAGGTGAATTTATTTAAAATACTTCCTCCATAACATTCGATACACATTATGAAAAAATCATTTTAATTATTACGTATAAAACACAAACCATCATTCAAGACTTCCATAACAAATTTAATCTTTTCAAAAGATCTGCGATCATAAAACTCTTACATATTGTAAGCTACCTACCTCAAGTTTAACATTAGAACTACCAGCGGTGAATGTACTATGCTAAACTAAATTGTATAATGTATAATACAATATTACAGAATATAGTATAATGTATAATGTACAATAAATTAAAAGACAACATAAACTCCAACGAAAGCACCTTTATGATTTCAGTGCTTGTAAAACAAGAAATTCGAAATCCATCAGTTTGGTTGTTCCAGTGTTAACTATACGTGTAAAAATGCCCATTTTGTAAATTATCATCGTTTGTCCCCGAGCACGACCCCTAAGTGGTTTCGAACTGGTTATGTGATTCTTAATTCCCGAACGAGGGTGATGCGACTCACTTCCTAAACTTTTTTCGCGCACGGTGGTGCGCCTCGAGGCCTTCGGAGAGGGACTTGAGAGCCTTGACCTCGACCTGGCTCCGACCGCCCCCGCCCCCGTACCAACGGACCCAGACCGTCATAGAGCCCGGGGGGCCTAACGACTCGACCTTGCCCGGCCACGCCGGACTTCCTCTTGCGGCGCCCCACACTAGCTCACCCACTTCCAGTTTCCTCTGACTCTTCTCCTCTGATTTTGCCTCGGCTACTAAACGTTCCAAAACAAGACACGAGATTTTTCTTTCGATTTCGATTCATGATCGTTCCTCTCTCAGTGTTCTCACGTTATTTTACTCAGTCAGGTCCCGAACACAATAGGGTGTCGATTAAGCGTGAATCTCAGAGAACAAATTCGTAATTCGATAAGTACGACGAAGTATCGTGGGATCGTGATTTTAAATTCTAATGGATATTGATCTTTAGGAAGTAGGTTTCTACAGTGTTCAAGGTGTTCTTAAAATGTCTTTTGTTAGAATATAATGAAAACTGTGGAACAACTGGGTAGAGAATAATTCGACGTGCAAGAATCCCTTAACCCTCTGTAGGCAAACAGGGTCGTTTATGTCCAAACCTAATTTCTCTAGTGCTTCCAATAAATTCAAAAAAATGTTGGAATACTTGTAAAAATTTCTATTATATTGTACAATCGCCCGTTCGATCAAATGGTTAAAACTCTTTTCAATAAAAATACAAGTTCACAGGTTTAAATAAGTCCGATGAGAGGGGGGGAATTCGCTTGGTTCGTCAACGAGCTATATTGCCTACGGAGGGTTAAAGATGTAAAACTGAAGTGTTTGAAAATTCTTGAAATCTGCTCATGAACTGCTATACTGAAACTAATGTGGCTGCAATAATAATACTTATTTTAATCGAAATTCACCTCACCGCTACGTACTCAAATTTTTAGTCACTTGATTAACATGAATGAGATGTTAGCAAATCGATGAATCTTGAACACTAGGTTTACGGACATTTCTTATACTCCTATCTCTATGGACACGCATCAACGAAACCATACATTTTCTTTAAAAAACAACTTATTTTTTTTAATACTCAATTTACGATAGCATCAAATTGTCGCGTATCCGTAGGGATAGGTATACCACATAGAGAATTTCGAGATTAGAAGGCATTCGAAATGCGTCCAAATAACGCGTTCCGTAAACTTAGTGTTAATAATTACAATGCAGAGAAAGTACATTCCAAACTTTCCAATTTATTGTTGCACGAATCATTACCATCTTGCCAGTTATATTACTTATTCTGCTATCTCTTGGGTATTTGAATTTTAAAATGAAGATTTATGAAAATATGCAAATATAGATTTAAAAAGGTTACCCTTGTAAGGTACATGAAGATTATTTTCGATTCTTGAAGTGATAAACAAGTAATCATCATTACATACGAAGTATCAATAAATACCATTGCATTGATCGGCACAGAATGTGTATAATACAATAAGAGTTTCGAAAATTATACTTAAATCACTTTCTTGCGAACGTAGTAAGTTTTGTTCGCAATATTCATATGAACAATTTAGGAACACCATACATCGATAAGGAATTTGAGCTTATAAATTTTGTTAAATACAATAGCATTTTGAACAACATTTTATACGTACTATGTATATGTATTGTAATAAGATACTTTTAAGTAATGACATTGCAAAGAATATAAGAATATAGTATCAGTGCGATTATGTATTTCATTACATTCTTACTTTAATTGTAGATTATTATTTGCAACAACTTCCGCTTACACCCGTAAGCCTCAAAATATATAAACATTTAATTTTTGAAAGTTTGAAATATCTTAACATATTCTCTTAACATCAAACTTTTTATTTTTCAGTGTAACTACCAAATTACATCATACGCATTTATAGCAAATGCAACTTTGTAGAAGATGCAATTTTCACATTAACAGAGTACTTAATGGGGAAAATAACTTACTTTTTCATTCCCATTCTTCTAAATTATTCTATTAAAAAACCACCTATTAGAAAAAAAAACATACACATGATATTTCAGGTGGTCCAATACAGAAAAACAAATACAAACGGTAGAATAATATTTTTCTGTAGGAAGTTTCGTTTTTGAAACAACTGAGTTGAAAAATAAATACGGTGCATTTAAATCTCATGTAGATGTCCATACATTACTGGTTACTTCTACTCCTGTTAATCTTTTTAAACAGTGAAAATGATACTTCAAAATAATCTGCTACAATTTAATAGTAAAACTATTAAAAGTGTTTATTATAAGTAGAAACAGTGAGCACTAGACAGACATTAGCCGATCTATTTTCGAATTTGATATTCTCGGTAATGGAGTACGAAAAAATTGTATTCTACCCTACGGAATTTGTCTTTATACGTTGAATCGCCCCCTTCTCGATTTCCGACTACCTGCAATTATTTTTTCAAACGAATATAATTTCGAAAATGCAAACCGTATTTTTTGTCCATCCTGTCGTTATTTCTGGTATCGAATTGAACAATTAACTGCTAACGATCATGGTTTTAAATTACATTTCAAAATACAAAATTATTGTAACAATACCATATGTCAGTTTAATGTTACTTTTCTGTTATGTTTATTAGCAAAATTTTAAATTCTTCTATTGATTTTGAGATCACACTGTAACTTATTTTAATAAACAGTTTGATGTTCATAGTTTATATTAAGTTTGTCGATAAATAAAAAGCTATTGTTTTACATTATTACAAAAAAAGTTTGTACCGCCTGTTTCGAATTTCATTTATCGATTAATTCTCGTTAACAAAAAACAGGTATATGGAAGTTATTTCAAATAATTATACGCATCAATTCACCACACGATCCCACGAGCTTTCGTCCGGTTAATGTTGTGTGTTAACTTTGGCCAATAGGTGCAACGCATAACAACGAAATGCTGTATATGCATGTTGGTGCGTGCTTTTACGAACGGAACTTTACTTAAAACAGTTCAATCGAATGGTACAAAACTACGTCTCTATTATTCGAATTGTACTTCTCCGAAATGTGCTTCTTGCTCGCGCGTGTGCTCGTTAAACAAATGATTAGTAGCTTCATTCAAATGGTGGTAGGCGAGATCAGTGGCAAAATGAAATATATCAGATGGTTCGAGCACATGCAATGACTCGTCGATCCTTCTCTATTCCGGGTGTGGAACATTAATCGACCGATAATCGACAATCGAAGTGATTCCACGGTTCAATTTCATTCCGTGCAAGGTTAAGGATTCCCATGAGCAAGGTGTCATTCTTTAGAGAATCAAGAGATAAGTGTAACGATACTAATGTATAAAATTTGAAAAAAAAAATTTTTTTTTTTCATCACTTGTCTCTAATCAACACAGAATCAGTATTTTGCTTTCAGTGATTTTTTTTCTTAAACTGTCTCTAACCAACACAGAATCAGTATTCACAGGTTCAAATCGAAATTTGAACCAGTGATCTTTTTTCTTTAACTGCGTCTAACCAACACAGAATCAGTAGTTTGCTTTGAAAATAAAAATAGATAAAATGCACACACAGATCATACCCCCTAGACCTATATTTTTATTATAATTCCTTATAAGAAATATAACATTATCTTTATCAACAGGAACTATCTGAATCTAATTTCGACTAAGTGTGGAAATCGTATAAATGTTAATTTTTTATTTATTAAACACGAACTAAACTAACCTAACTTCTACTAAATGCGGAAACCGCAGGAAATTTAACCTTTTATTTATTTAACAGCTACTAACCTAACAACTGTAACCTGCAAACCACAACTCGCATGAGGCGTCTCCCACTTCCGACGACATCAATCGAATATCTAACATGAACCTCACGATGTCATTTAGTGGGTTTGAAGCCAGTTAAAGTGGTCAAAATTCCGATATTTATTGCCACCTATCTTATAAACCCCGAGTTTTCGCACGACACCATATATGTCATACGACGTTCCTTTCATGTAGAATCGATCAAGGAATCTCATTCCAAGATCTATCACCTTGCACAGAATGAAATCTAACCGATTACGCTCCAACGAATTTTCTCGCGTAAAATTTAAATCGATCTTTTTCGCGTCGTATGGTATTACGCCTTCTCCTTGCCTTCCGATGACTCTCAGGCGTTTGAGCGTTGATAAATTTCCGTCTCGTAACTTGATCATAAAAGCGGCAAGACCCGCGAATTATACGCGGGTAATAATTTTTCGTTATTTCGACGGATTCGGATGGTAAGCGCTCGAGCCGTAAATTTCCAGACTCTTATTTGAGAATCGCGAAATACGAACGTAATAAAGTTACGGATTTACGTGACAAATTTTCGTACGCGCCTGTACACGGCTGTAGTCCTCGGGTTCGGCGGCGCACCCATGACGAAAACAACGATCCCTCCCCAAGATTATGCACATGCGACACGAGAAACGTGAGAGTGATTATATACAAGTAATGCCGCAATAAATAAACCGGTGAGCCACACCCGCGCCGAAAATGAACGTATGACTGCTGAAGCCCCCTTTCCCGGCCCCCATCTTTCAATGGTACGTGACAAACTGCGTGGACAATAATATAAACAAACCTGACAGCCAATTAGTAGAAAAACAAAAAAAAAACGAAACAAATCCTTCCGTGTGTGAATTATTTACAATTTATTAATTCAATGACACCGCCGTTACTTTTTATGTAGCAAGCATCGAGTCTCCTTGGTTCGCTCAGGTTCAAGGTATGTAAAATGTGTACTGACATCACTTACCTGCTTCGATTTCTCGTGTAAAAATAGTAAGTGGTCGTTTTTCGACACGATAATATCGTTTTCTTTCAGCTCGAGCGGAAGTATGCGATAATGTTAAACCAATCGTTCAGATTTAACAAAATGTTAGAATTTTTTTTTTTGGCTGCGGAAACGAATATTTTTCTCTAGAGCTTTCGAGAATAATTTTCCATTTAAGAGACAAAATTTTAGAATCCTTAATGTTTGAATTGTCTTATTTTTCAAAAATTTCGAAAAATATATTCCTTGTCCGGCCATCGAAGACCAATTTTAGTTACTGTTTCTCCGAATCAAACCAATAAAAGTATTTTAAAATCAAATTATGTGCAGAAATACTTTCGTTTGATTTCTTCCACGTATAAAGCATTACCAAGGCAATCACCATGCTACAAGCAGCATCACACAACTGTACCATTGTACCACAGACGAGATATAAGAACAGACCTAACGTCTTATGGGACTTGGTGTCCCACGAAAATCATGCTGGTTCGAGCGCACCTCTACATAAAAGTTTCCGATTTCAGGAACTACGTTCGATACCATGATAATGCACAGCACATACACACACACACACACACACAACTGTGACTGTATATAGCGATACATACATACTGAAGTGGTACGGGGGTTCTGACGCCACCGAAGCATGGGACAGAAACTTACATTGCATGTTAGGTCTATTCTTATATCTCGTCTGTGTCTGTACGTACACATGCAGCAAATGAAAACAAAGCTGGAGTATGCAACCACACATAAACTCAAATCAACAAGCTGATGTACCATAGACGGATGATTCAACAAATTATAGAAACAAATACGGAGGAAAATTAGTGAATGGAAACGTGTTTCCCTAGAGTGTTTCTATTCTAATGATTGGTATTACTAGAGCCAGAAGCACTCTTACCGACAACATTAACTATAGATCAAACAATGGCAAATAACAATGTCAAATATCAATCATTCGCAAAATAATTGCCAAAATTAATATCCTTTTCTTATTCACATTGCTTTTCACCGAAATATTTCACAAAACATCATTCCGATAAAAAAATTCTAAATCGGTACTATTCCCATGAATTTAAATTTCGACAATAACTACTGTACTTTCTGTTCAAGTTTTCAAAAATATTGTTTAGTTGGAATAGTAAATGTTCGATAATTGTGGGTTATTCCGTGTTATCAATTTTTTATCGACTTTCATGAAAATATCGTTTGATACTAGAGCCACCGAGCTACTTATGCGACTAATGCACGATAAACGTCTAAGAATACCATACAATACTGACCATCTTGGTCTTCATGCAGGGTTGAATGCATGGAATGGATGGAGTCCAGTTTTCGTTTGATTCCGCGGCCGAGGGCATGTTCCCTGCCCTCGCACCTCACTGTGCTCACCACACCTTCCGCCTGCTTCAACGTCTCTGTCGTATAGATCTGTCAAATACAACTCGATCAACTCAGGCACAAGCCTACAAATCGCATGCTAATATCAATTCAATCTAACGACTGCCATATGTATCGCTCACCCCCTCCCTCTCTCTCTCTCTATCTCACTCTCTCACCTCTCCCCCTGCCCTCCCCACCCTCCCCCCTCTCACTCGTTTTTGTTTTGATAAGACCCCCTCATTTTTTTTCGCTTTCTCCAGCAAGATCCTCATCATTCTTTCGACCGAACGTGAAAAAACATAAGTGAACAGAACAATTGAACGAGCATTAAATCTACTGAAACACAAGAGAACATTTGGGCCCGATTTGTAACGTGATACACGTACACGGAAAAAAAAAACTTTAAGAAACATCGACGTGATGAGCGTTCGACACTGTTAATTAGAAAACATACGTTTTCTACGCTTATCGATGGCCGAACCAAAAATGTCATATTCAAAAATTTCATTCGTCGAAGGCATGCAAAACGGAGAAGTGATACCAAGGTAAACGAAATCCAAACTCTGATTACGCATGCTCATCTCAAGGTACTCTTTTGCCAATCGTTTAGGAATTAATGTATTAACTATCAATCAGAAATATTATTGTTTAGCAAAAATTTATTTTTTCTCTATTCGCCATTATAAAGAATCATGATGATTTGTTTTTTTTTTAGCAACCCGTTCGACACACGGACGAGCATACAAGTTACATTGTTGCAATGTACATTTTAAATAATAACGCTAAAAAGTGAGCTTCGTGGCTCGGCCCACAAAATGTCTGCAAGTAAAATGTAATAACGTTAAATACAAACTAATTACAAACTTAATAGTATCGATTGAAACGCGTAATAAGCCCTCGCGGAGAGGTAATGCCACTGAGGTCGAATTTAAAATGTACAAAATTAATATTTAATCAACCCGTACGAAAGAAAGATGCTCACTCCTCCGACGACGAGTCCGTCTCCTCACCGTCGTCAACCTCTTGCGCGTACATGAACGGATTGTAAACGTATGGGTTTATATAGGCCTGTTTATTAGGCGAATAATTAACGACAGCAATTCCATTAGGATCAGACCTATAGTTGTATAAGTGCGGATAGAGACCGGGTGGCGCGGCGATGCCAACGCTTACAAATTTTTGATAATTATCGTTATCTGGACAATAAGGTACGCCGACGTTGTGATCGTCTAACGATTTCTTGTTCGAGGTCTGCGCGGTGTCGTTTTGTTCAACGACATGCTGGACGATTTGCGAATCGATTTGACTGGCCTCTACGCAAGGTTTATCATCGAATTTAGTCTGAGGTAACATCGTGTAATGGGCGTGGTCTGGCACTAAAGTTTGCTGTCGATAAACGTTTGCGTTAGGAACGTAGTGCTGGCTATGATAGAGGATCGGCTGATAATGACCATGACCTACAACCGGTAACGTATTCACGTCCATCTCGGTATAAGAGACATCCGTCATTTCTTTATTGACGGGCAGCTGATCTTCCACGAGGGAGTGGTCCATTGTGTCTGAATATATGGAATGATTTGGTGATGATGTGTCCATATGCTCCTGTGAGTCAGCGTATGTGTTTTCAGGGTGTGTCGTATCGGCTGGCTGGTGCATGTCTGTTAGAGTTAGATGACGGTTGACCTGTTCTACATGGGTACCAACCTGGATCCCAGTAGTCACCGTCGACTCCACATATGTCTTCCCATGGAGACCTGGTTGGCTAAGCGTTATTTCTTTTGTAGTGATACCCTGAATTCTCCAGTCTTCCGATGCCACCGGTACATCGCCTGAATCCGGTTCGCTGCTCGACACACAATGAACCATCGGCTGAAAACATAAATAGATATTTAATTGAACAATTTTTGTAACTTTTTCACTTCTAGAAACAGGTAACGATTAGGTGCAACATTTGTAAAAAATGTATAACTTTTATTATACTATCCGATATAATTTGCTATTCTTAACAAAAAACTGAAGGTCGATTTTTTATTTTAAGTTTGCTAATAGATACTTGTAATTCATATTGATGAACAATTCGTAATACTCCGGACATCTGACAATGTAATCCATAAAATTTTATATTTATTTTAACATAGTACATATGCGAATACTTAAGTAAAAATACAGTTAGAGCAGACAAGTTTTAACAAATAAAACTATAACATAAATTTATAGTAGCAGTCCAATTAGAAAGAAACTTTGACAGTTATGTGTCTTTTACTCTACAATGACCTCTAAGAAAAGACTTATTTGTTATATGTCTAATAACTTGATCGATAAATTGTTATTACTAGTATTAGTAGATAGTTTACAAAGTGTATAAAAGTAAATTTTAATTAAAACGAAGATATTGACGACTAATACTCTGTGTCCTAAATTTTTTTTAAAGATTTACTTTAAAAATTTTTATTGTCATGACCTTTAATTAATCTTTTATATTTTCTACTAGAACGTTTCTGGTAATAATTTGTATTAAATTGAAATACAAAACGTTACCGTGGATGATGAATGATGTCTAGCTGTTATCGGTGGTGCTGGTGAAGCTGCTCCATGCGTTGTAGTATCCACAGCGGGGCTGTTCGACCTTTGGCTATTTCCTGGGCTATGCGTGGTGGTATCTGGAGGAGATCCTTGCCTCATCAGCGCAGACTGTGCCATATTCGCTTGATTTCCGGCTGTCTGCGTAGAGACAGAATGTCTTGCCATCAGTGGGCTGTGTTGGTCACTCTGTTGTGCAGTTTTCTCGACGACAGTCGTACTACTACTGGCAAGAACGTATTGCTGTTGCTCAACATTTTGCTCTGCAGACGGTGAGTTTACGCTACTTTTGGGGGAAGTCGGCGCTTTTCCATGAATCATGCTGGAGCTTAAAATATAGGACTGATTGTGGTCGATGTTCATAGACGGATCAACGTTCGTTCCGTTAGAAGCTGCGGGTTGAAAATTAGGTATTTGATTGTTAGACACCATAGTTGTTTGCTGTTGCACAATCGTGGTGTTTTGTTGAACGAACGTTGTATTCTGCTGATTGGAGGCTGATGAAACAGCAATATTTTGTGCGGTGCCGCAAGGTACCATTAATGTTTGCCCATTCATTTGTATGAACTCCTGTTGGCCCTGCATGTTAGACGGCCGAACTTGCGAGGTATTGAATGTCACTTGCTGATTCGGGCTAACATTCGCTACTATCGGACTTAATTGATTTCCAAACGACGTAGTTCCATTTACTAGGAACTGACCGCTGTTTGGCGAAAGGAATTGTGCGCCTGGACTGTGTTGCTGAATAATTTTTCCACCTGTAGCTTGCGGTGCACGGATAACCATTCCAGCAGGACCAGCTGCTAAGATGCTTTGACTGGGATTGAATATTCCGCTGTGGCTTTGAACTGGAGTCAATACGTTCTGGCCATTCACGTTCTGTATCTGCAATTGCATGCCGATATTTCCAGTGTCTTGTAACAGTGTCGCTGTTCCATCAGCGGACATAACCATACTGCCAATTCCGGGAACGATGAACTGCTGAATGGTCGGGAAATTTTGAACCATTCCGGCAGCTCCGTTCAATAAATTCACTGGTTGCAGAAGATTTATTTGCTGAGCTGGCTGAGGATTCGTAATAATTTGCTGAGCATTGAACTGGGCTGACGTTGCACCGGCTTGTCCATTCATAACTAACTGAGCCGGTGCTCCACCTTTACCCGGAACAATGGTCAACGCTTGTAACATTGGACCTCCGATACTCTGAGTTTGGAAGTTTTGTTGCGCGAAATTTGACTGCGACTGCATTAACATGCCAGCATTCTGTTGAGACGAAGCAATATGTAACATAGAGGCAACTGTCTGTGGGTTCCCCTTCCGTTTCTTATACACTTTCTTTTTACTCATTGCCGATTCAGGAGACAACAATGCAGGCTGCCGATTCACCATTCCCTGATTTGCATTCACATTTCTTGCAACATCTTGGTTCGCGTCTATGATCGACTGAGCATTTTGTATCACGTTACCAGTAGCAACTGTTAGATGCGGTATCTGAACGTTCTGTCCTATACTGTCCATTGTCATAACACCTGGCTGTATAAGTACAGGAGTCTGAATAGTGTTTACCAAGACCGTAGGTTGCCCTATAACTTGCTGAGCTACGCCAACCGCTGGTATAACCTGACTAACAGCTCCTGTTACACTGGTGACCATGGGTGACACTGACAACGGTGGCATAGAATTAGAATTGGAAATGAGTTTCGGTGGAGGAGGGGCCATCACGCCATTAATACCCGACCCCGTGCTAGCCATTATTAGTTGGCCACCACTGGATACAAGTATATGACCAGGAGGTAAAGTTGATCCAGCTGGATGTTTCAATATTCCACCAGACGTAAGAACATTGTGGACTTGAACGTTCGATTGAGGATGTTGTTGTGGATGTTGCTGTTGCTGTTGCGGTTGATTTTGCGGGTGTACTGGCGAACTCGTACTGGCCTGAGGTACTTGTATGCTACTAACGACGCTTTGAACCATTTCCAGTGGTGACTTCGAGACATTTATCGCTATCGATGGTTGACTGCTTGGGAGAGAACAATGCGTTGTCACAGCAGACGTTGGTGCGGTTGTTAAACTCGTAGACGACGTTTGGTGCTGAGGTTTGTTTGAAAGTATATCTGGTATGGCAGGGTTCGGAATTCCGGAAGGTGTATTGATCGACACTGTAGCGGTATTCGCTCTTCCTGCTAGTACAGACGTGATCGTGTTACTACTAACAGTGTGTCCGCTGGCCATTGTAGTTATTACCGAAGACGTGCCAGTAAAATGACCCATCGGTACTCTGGTAACAGCATTTACAGTGTGTGGATGTGGCTGATAACCGTCTAAAGGCGACTGTCTTGTGGTTTGTCTCTTTGCTACCTGAGGAGTCATATTTTCTATTGCGGTTGAAGACGTTTGTAACGAGGAAGTACTAACAACAGAAACGCCACTTGAATTAGTCGCGACAGAACAAGGAGTTTCAGAACGTTGCTCCTGGACACCACTGCTCATTAAAGACTGTGATGGCTGCTGAGCCTGTGGCGTTAAAGGTTGAGATGGCACCTGACCTGACGTAGTATGCGAATGAGGTGTTGGCGGTTGCGAATAACTGTGTGGTGTGGAGGGTTGAGATGAAATAAGACTCTGTGGCGTTGCCGGTTGAGATATTCCGGGCGTTGACGAAGCTGGTGTGTCAGAATTTGCCGGACTATTCATGCCGATAGGAGATCCATGACTAGTGCTCACTGTACCCCCTTGTATTGGTCGTGAATCAGCTTGCTGTTGATTGTGCTGGTACTGTTCTCCAAACGTGGATGACGTAACAGGATCTTCGCGTTGATCTGAATGCATCAGGTACTGGCGTTGAATTTGTTGTTTATACTGATCCTGCACATAGGACTGAGTATCAGCACTAGTTACGCAACCTTGACAGGGACTATTCTCCGAATCGGTTCCACCATTGCTCGACGTTGGCGTCATACTGCTGTGTACAACAACAGGGGATGTCGCGTGATTTTTTACAGAGCCGAACGTTGATGTACTCGTTGGGCTAACACTGGAGGAAGGCTTTGGTTGTGGAAGATAAGCGTTATTAGGCAAGTGTGACCCGTGACTCGATTGCGGTATTTTCGAATTATTAACCATTCCGACTTGCGAACTGCTGACACCGGTTTGCCGTGATATTGTACTATTCAACAAAGCTGTTTGCTGTGCGAGATAACCACTGGGGTCTTCCAAAAACGATGGCCCGCTGCTGTTAACAGTCGAACCAATTTGACAGTTATTCTGATGATTTTTATCGCTGAATTCATCGATTGGACTCTGTGCTGATTGGTCGAGACTATTGTTTCTAACGTCCGTTACGCTGTGCTGGCGTTGTTTCTTCACCACTACTTTACTGGGCTTTGCTTTCTTGCGAGCCACTTCGTCGGTCCAGGTGGTTGCTTGTGGAATGTGATGATGCAAAGGTGGAACACGATCGAAGGAATTGCAAGTGATATTCTGAACTGTAACAATGGAAGGTTGATGAGAAGCCGAGGCTGGTCGATTTTGTTGCCAAGGGGGTGTTCTTGAAGTGAAATGCATATTACCGGGCTGCCCGTTTGGTCCCATACCAGATTGTGCTTCAACAGCATGATTGGTGTTCGGGCTCCTTCCCGCTAGATTAGACAAAGCGTATTGCTGCTGATGCTTAACATCCGCAGTATTCCCCTTCGATGCATCAAAATTCCTCGCAATATATTGAATCTGATTTTGAGCGTACATTCGTTGTACATTTTCATTCGAGTTGTTTGGCATGTTTCCGTTTTGCACTACGTGGTGTCGTTGCATCGTATGATTTTGCAACAAAATTTGGTGTTGCTGTTGTTGTTGCTGCTGCTGTTGCATTTGTTTCGTGTTTAGATCTTCATCCGTCACAGATGGTGTGCGATTATGTCGACTCTGAATGTCGGCGGTGTTCATCGTGTTCATCACTGTACCGGAATTTTGTTGTTGCATGACGTCTAACGAGTGATGACTTAACTGTTGATTAGAATACTGCGGCTGGACACACACTTGAGATACTTGCTGCTGCTGTTGTTGCTGCTGCAACTGCTGTATTTGCATTGGAAAGGGATCTGTTGGTTGGGCTTGCATCACGTGTTGAGTAGGCTGATGCTGTTGCGTTTGCTGTTGCATCTGATGTGAATGAAGTTGATGTAACTGTGGATGCAGAGTAGGTTGAGATGATACTTGCAATGGTTGCATGTGATGTACATAATTTTCAGACGAATGCTGAGGATTGAAATTCCCTGATTGTTGATCAACTTCCTGAGTCAAATGCTGCTGCTGTTGCTGTTGCTGCTGCATTTTATGCTTCTGTATTTGCTGCATATGTAACTGCTGCTGCTGCTGCTGCTGCTGCTGCTGCTGCTGCTGCTGCTGTTGTTGTTGTTGTTGTTGTTGTTGTTGTTGTTGCTGATTCATGTGTTCCTGTTGTTGCATCACATGCAATGATTGTTGATTTAATTGATTCAGATAGTGGGGGGCCTGCTGTTGTGTTAATTGATTCACAACCGTATTTTGATGTTGCGGTTGTTCTTGCTGTTGTAAAATTTGCATGTGTTGCATTTGCTGGTGATGGGGCAACAATTGCGGTGGTTGTTGCTGTTGCTGCTGCTGAGATATATGCTGCTGCATAAGCTGCTGTTGTTGTTGTTGTTGCTGCTGCTGTTGCAATATAAGCTGTTGATGTTGTTGTTGCAGCAGCTGCTGTTGCTGCTGAGTCATGTTGTTGAAGTTACCCGTTTGCTGATTCATTATCAGCGAATTTCCCATTAGCATCCCCGACATGTTGTGCTGACCTAACCTTTGCTGAGGATTTCTTGTTGCACAGCCGTTTACGTCCTGATTTTGCGAGGATGGGTTTAACGTCTGACAAATTTGCTGATTACTCTGCTGAACTTGCAAATTGGGGATTGCGATTGGCCACACCTAAAAATGAAAGATTTTTTTTACATAAGGATATTGTAAATACATAACCAATTACTATGCAACAGTTTTGAAGTCTATTTCAATAAAATTAAACATCAAATTAAAAATGATAAAAAATTCAACTATAAAATACTCTATGGAAATAATATAGTAAAGGTCTTTGTGTTACTGGAAGGTAAACTTTATATGGCAGCTTGATATACAGTACGATTGGATTACCTGCGATCCATTTGGCATCGATGAACCTTGAACTCCAGATGCTGCAACAATAGCCCTTTCGCGTTGTGCCATAAGTTGTGAAACTGAAACTCCGGAAAAAATGCTTCCTACTCCCCCTAATTTTCGCTTCTTCTTTTTGTTCAGACCATCTGTAAAATTACACAGATCCGATATTAATAAACAATGCAATAAGTTTCAACTGCTAAATATTTAATGAAATTAAATAAATATTTTGCTGTTAAATAATATTATAAAATGTAGTGACTCTTCCAGATTATAGAAATACTTACTCCTCTTATTTATACAATTAATTTCTCTAACAGTAATTTTATACTCTCCAACAACAAGTTTTTCATGTCAAGCCTTCTCCATAAGTTAAACCGTATTTAGCGTAACATTCCTAATGTTATTCATGTTTCTTTTATTGACTATTTACTAATTCGCCGTATAAATACATTTCACTTCCAACCATATATTTTTTATATTTTAATACTTTCATATCATAGAATCATTGGAGTTAGTGTATAATTGTTCTATTATTATAGATACCTCATTCTTATAATATTATTATGAAGATAATAATTTAATAAAAAGTAACATCAATTATAAATATTAATTATTTATTATTATTAACTAATACAGTACATATCATTTTGATTGTATAGGATATTACTTTGAGCGTGGATTACAAAAGAGTTTACGCTTCCCATTTTATTTATATTCAAGGCAATATATAAATTTTATTTGACTGATATTTAATTTGATGTGACCCATTCCATATTTCCAATAGAGTTCAAGCACAAGAAAAATACAAAGTTTAAAGAACCTATTCACATTAAATATGCATAAAAAGCATAGTAAAAAAAGAAATCATATGGAGAGAATTAAAAGAATAAGAAGTAACGTATTTATGATTAAAAGACACTATTCGAATTGTTTTATTTATGCGTCATTGCATAACTGTGTTTGCTCAAAATAAAATAAAACCATACGTGTTCGTGAGCTTAATGTTTCATGGGCCACCCTAACAGGCGTTCACACTACGATATTACCTTGATTTACGAGGATAACAAAAAACAAAGTGATAAGAGGGTGCCGCAAGGGACGGTTTCCAATGGTGGTTTTTTATCCGTAAGCATACAGCGGATAATTATTCTCCACAGCTTCAATGGGGAAAGATAATTCGGAAGTGGGAGGAGGAAAATTAAGAGAAAGGGGAGAAATGACAGAAGGTCCGAGAAGGATGGCTGTAATAATGAATCCGCCTGGAAACCGGGCGGTTTGTCTTCAACGACAACTGTTCAACCCGATTTTCAAAGCGGCGAAGATTTGAGTAAAATCTTTCGAGCATTTTGCAACTTCCGGGGAAAATTCGCTTGAACGCATAGAAGTCGTTTCCCTCTGGTTATTCCAAAAATCTGCGGGTAGTGGCTTACAGCTGTAAAACGTTGCCGTCGTTAAACCTGACGAGGGAAACATGACGACGCAATTATGGTTTATGGCCCATCGTTTGAAGGTATTTCAGGCTTGATCGTTTGAAACGCGCACGACTATAGCTCCGACTTCCAGAACGGATTCAATTGAATGAAAGTACCATCGACTGTTATAATATATTTCCTATTTTCGTCCGCAACGAAGGAATCTTTTTATTCGGCAGTCAATTATGCATAACACCTTCCTTTCATATTGACCCTCTGACACCACGCCCCACCTCAGCATACGTAATCACCAAACTAGAGAGAATAGAGATTTTGAGTTTTGTATGATTAAGAACTTGAAGAGTATAACAGGAAACCGAACTCGTAACATATTTCTTAGGGTAAAATTTCAATTGAAAAGATATGAAATAATTTTTAAACTACGAGAATTTGAAACCGTTATGTTAGCCAGATAGAATGTTACAGACGAAACAATGTTTCGCTGGTGCAAATTCGCTCTAGTATGATGTCTGAGGGTTAATTACATTGTATTTGCTACAAACACCTGTTTTCATAACATCATCGTCCTAGATTGTTATTCATAACACCAAATATCCTTGCAAGCACAGAAATTTCCTACGACTCATTATGCTGACCGAAAATTGTTCCCATCGTTTCCAGCCGGCTCTCAAAGTATAGACTGAAGTTCGTGGCTTGCTACCAGCAGGTGTCGATACAGGGAACAGGAAGGCCGACGAACCAATGACCATAATTATAGTAATCTCCCTCTCGAGACTCCCGACCAAAACTCGCCGCAACCGAGTGGCGGATACCGTGGTATTTCGAAGGCACTCGAATTAGTCGAACAGAGTGAACCTCGGGACAAAGATTGCTCCAGTTCGCTCATGATGATACCATGAGAGCGTGGAGAGGCAAACGTTACGACGTGGCCGAGCCGTTGAGGCGAACTAAAAGGAGACAGGGCGGAATGCGCTTGCGCGACCGTAACAGGACCGTCTAGGCCGAGGACGATCCGGAGGTGGCTTGAAACAGTGTCGGGTGGGGGTGAACATCACTTCGGGGCAAGCGCAAGAATCACGGCCGGACACACACGTCGGCCCGCGGTTCCTCTACCATCTCCACCTTCATTGAGGACGGTGGAACGCCGCGTCGCGGCGCCGCTGCTCCTTCCTACGAAATTAACCCTTATCAACTATACGTCTGCCACCGCCGCCCACTATCGTCGTCTTCCATCCTCTTTGCCCCACCACTTTGCCCACCCTCCATCGAAACTACACCATCGTCGCGTTGACGTCGCTGGCAGCGAATGGTGAGCGGATTCTTTCCTCCTCCCGGGACTTATTGATCGCCCGGACGATAAGAAGACACGAGCCGGCCGATTGGTTCCTCTTTCGGACATCTCGCGACCTCTACGCCATCCCCCGACATCGACGAGGAAGCTGTCCCTACATCACAATAATAAGGATAGTTGGGAAGCGAATGCAAATTTGTGGTTCGCCTATGGAGTTGGTTCAAAAGGACTAACGGCAGCCTGCGATTGGTGGATTATTCGTACGTGGAACGTGCTTGGATACGTCTTACTGTGAGACTCGTGTATCTTTTTAACAATTGCTAAATTCTTTTTAAAAATTTGGATTCAAGACCGTAAAATTTCGGAAAATTAGTTTTCTTTGGAAAAACTTATCACTTCTCGATAAACCTAACCCAATTGCGGTGTCATTCACAGAAAAACGATGTTACACATTTTTTATGTATACCTAATTGTATCAAAATGTTTCCCAAATATTTGTTTTCGAAAGATATATTCCTAATTTTCGCATATTTATCAATACATGTACCTACCGTCAGAACACGTCACGATTGCAATTAATAAAGCTTTTTAACAACCTCTTAAGATAAAGTATTATCGGAATAGGTATGGAATCTTGAATCGTTTATCATCAGAAACGGTTTCAAGTTTTCAAAAGGTTTGCCGTTCGCGGGAATGCGATAAACGGGAAACTGTAAGTATTTGTTCTGAAAAGGTCGATAGAGGTGCACTCCCTGTGAAATTGTTTTCCCCGGGGGTATCAGCGTCGCAAGGCGGTATCGCGGCACCACAACGCAACCGTGATCGATCGAATCACGGAGAACTTGTTCATCGAGAAGAAGTATTGTTCAATTGGGCAGAAAAGACATAACACCGAGTGATTGATTCTATTAGTCTATCGATCCTCTGACATGGTGTGTGTTCGTATCATCGAGTCAACGAAATTACACGGGCAGGGATTTATTATTACACCGACGAATCCGCTGACAGGACATTTCACGGGAACCGTAAAAATCAACAGAATCGAGTAACTGTTACAAAATCAGTTCCAGAAGTGTTGTTTGCGGCGTTCAAACTAGGAATAGTAAAAAATCAAAAGAAACATCGATATATCCATACAACTGCCATCGACCAACTATTATCGATGTTAATCGATACATTGGTAGCAATACATCGATATTTTTACAAGTTTGTTTAAAGTCGGAGGATTTTCAATGAATTTCATCTAAATTTTCATTTTAGAGTTTAGTTTATTGCATAGGTATATTTTTTTCATAAGTCCATTATTTATCGAGTAAACTATTTAAAGATACTAATATGTTTAACGTCGTTCCTGACAAATGAATTCTTCGTTGAGTTATTGTCAAACCAACGTTTGAAATATGCTCATTAGAATATCTCTAACTGATTTCACACCTTTTGAATTTATGTCAAATTCAACTCGAATTCCTTTCTCCATTACATTCAGTTTGATTCAATTTCGCGCCTCTAAAGTCCATGCCGCACGCTCAAAATTCATGCTACACGCTCTACACAACAGATTGAAATGAGAAAATCCACCAAAAAAAACATCGATGGTTTCGATGTTATCGATCTGCAAACGTCGATGCATCGACAGAAAACATCGTTGTTTGGATAATGTCGATACACCGTTGCCATTCCTAGTGCAAACATCGTACCCTTACTGGTGGAACAGCGAGTTGAAACGGGCGCAATATTGAATGCGGCAGTGAATTCAGATACGAGTAACAAGCCGTTGGAGTTCCATTAATCGCGACGATCGAGTCTGTTCTCAGCTGTAGAAGGGTCCTTTGGCAAGCCGCGATACATAAAACTTCAACTCCCCCCAAGTAGGATCGGCGGGGTAAAACCGAAAAGAACCAAGGAAAAATGGAATCGACTTTCGTTATTGAGATTCGTATTTGTGGAATAGCGACGACGAAAAAGATTCATTCGAATCGCCTACCCCCCCCCCTCCTACCGCTGTACGTAGATTATTCTTTTTATTTTCCCACCCTTCAGCCGCACGATTCGGTTGGGTGTGTGTTTACACAGTGCGCGAACGTATTATCCCCACACCCGCGTGCCGTTGAAATCCCGGGAAAGAGGAACAGGAGGATGGGGGAGGGAAAAATAGAGGGGAGGGAGGGAGACGGAGGGCAGAGAGAAATAACGGCGGCGACGTTTTCTCGGGCTACGTCGTTTTATATCACCGGAAAATTGGAATCGAAGCGACGCCCGTGAACACGAACGCTGACGTCGATGTTAAAACGGCCCTATAAAGTCCCACGGAAATACTGGCCGCGTCGCATGTACGGGGTGTTCGCATTATTACTGACAAGAGTAAACGCATCAATGAATAAACACTTAAGAGATTTTGTAACTATTAAAGTCGAATTTT